GGTCTTGGTTGAGCGCCAGAAACCTATATTTGTAACAAGTTCCTCAGGGTAGTCATATGACCAGAGAGTCCTGGATAAAGGGCCAGTCTGCCAGTCACCATCCACAGATCTATTCCACAAGTGCTAAGCACCAACTGCTCAACTGTGCTTCTGTTCTCGAAAATGGTGGACGTAGTAGGGTCCCGGCCTCACCTTTCACTAGGTACTAAGCTCGGGCAGGTCACCGGGCTTCTGTAAGCACACAAATTACATAAAAATCAGAGGAAGAAACTATCATGTAACTGCTTGGAAGGCCCACAGAGTATTGTGCAAATGTTTGACGTTATTTTATTGACTCAGCCCTTGCTAGATAAAAATGTGTTTGTATTTCACAAGTATGTGTCACTTAAATACCAAGTAAGGTGTTCCATGATCCCACCCAGAGGTCAGCAACCATTCTGAGCCCGGAGAGCTACTGGAGATGTGCCTGGGACAAAGCAAAGTTGGGGGACAGGAACAAGGTCAGGGAGGATGAGAAGCCTGGTGTCTCTTTTCTTACACACTCCTTCCCATCCTATGTTTATTCTGGAGGCCACTTTATTTAAATTTTAGTCATGATTTGTAGGTCACCTCTCCCAAGTAGCTTTCCCTGATTGCAGTCAGTGCATTTTCATTCTCCTCTGGACACTCATAGAACTTGGTACATGCCTGTCTCAAGTGCTGAGTGTTTCTCCTTAAGGCCAGACCCCAGTTTCCCCTCTGGGCACATGCTCTTTCACTCACACCTTCTTGGGCTCTGCAGGCCCCTGCGTTTTGAACTTTAGGTCACTGTTATGGGTCAGGATATCCATGCAGAGCTGTTGTTCCCCAAAATTGCCTGAGAAGAATCACCTGGGACTTGTTTTAAATATACACAGGCCAACTGGCCTCTCTCCTCGAGGTTCTGGTTTCCTAGTAGGTCTGCCTTGGGACTGGGGATGTATTTACCAACCTTCCACGACCTAGAATCTAGTTTTTCAATCGTAAAGTGCATACAAATCACTTGAGCTCAGTAATACAGACCCTCGTGTCCTAGGTCTGGGGCAGGCCAGGAAGAATAATTTCAAACCCGCCCCCTGGGGTGGGGGGATGTGGGGGCTGCAGATCCAGGACCCCAGGTTATTCTTATCTTTAGGCCTGCTGGAGAAGCCAGGATTTGGGGCTGTTCTCAACCGCAACCTCAGCACACCCGGGTAGATTTTGAAATCTACTAAGGTCACAACAAACAAAAAAACCCCACAAACTATACTTAAGGTCCAGATCCCACTACAGACCAATTTAAATCAGAATCACTCAGGTTTTCGGTTTGGTTTTTAAAGTTTCAAATGATCAGGTGCTGAGGCTCACTGATTTAGTGGGTCCCTACCAGCACGGAAATAAGTTAATGGAATAGAGCATCCCATGGACTTGTGGGCTACAACCTTTGACTCGATTCTATGCAGCTCATGTGAGTTGCTAAACCAATGCGGGTTTGAAAATGAGTGCAGAAGCGAGGATGTCCTGGAGTTCACAGAGCAGCCATGGGGACAGACAGACTGAGGGAATTTGAGGACACCCTGGCTCCCCCCACCCGCCGCCACCACTCTGGGACTGACAGCACAGTGGGGGAGCTCTGCAGCATCAGGCCATGAGGTCACGGTCAGGGAAAGCAGCAATAAGCCTGTGGATCGCTGAGCAATGAAAAGTGAACAGGACTTTGTCACGAAGTGGGCAGGGCCTTCGGAGCACAGAGGACAAAAAGTACGCAGTTTGGAGGTGTGTGAAAGAACACAGCAGGTTCGGGGAAGGGAACTGGCAGCAGTCGGCCTTGTGTCCAGGGCCTGGGGCTGTGAAGGGGAGCAGCCTATCTCTATAGGCCCAAATGATTGCAGGGGCCTGGGGAATGGGAGCTGAAGAGAAAGGAAGGTCACTGACCCCTTGCTAGGGAATGACCGCAGGTGACTTTATCTTGGCTCACAGTAGCCAAGACGCCCCTGACAGATTGTGTAAAGCTTTTCTTGTGGACATAAGGGCCCATGGAGCCTGAGGGCACTAGACAACTTTCTAGAAAGCATTTGGCAGGAGCGGAGTGGGGGGGTTGGAGGGGAGGGAGAGTAGAGGGTGCTTAAGCAAAGGTCCATCAGCAACATTCCTATGTCCCTTTTCCTGGGACTCCAGACCCTCTTGGGCAAACATCCTTTTTGCCAAGCACTGAGTTGGAGGGCGAGAAACAAGGCAGACAGCTCTACCCTAGTGAGCTGGCGGTGGGGAAAGGATTCACCCTCACGAATGACTGTAATATAGGGCAGGGTCTTGGAAATGCCCCCAAATTTGTGCTATGAGAAGACAGAAGCAAAAGCCATTGATTTTTCTTGGGTCAGAGAAGGCTCTTCTGAGAAGGCGAAGAACCTTGAAAGGTTAATATGTTTAATTGGTGGAGAGCTGAGGCACTTGGGTGGCTTAGTCGGTTAAGCATCCAACTCATGATTTCGGCTCAGGTCATGATCTCAGGGTTGTGAAATGGAGCCCTGTGTTGAACTCTGCGCTAGGTGTGGAGGCTGCTTAAGATTCTCCCTCTCCGTCTCTCTCTGACCCTCCCTACCCTCTCTGTCTCTCTCTCAAATTAATAAATCAATCTGTATTATTTTATTTTATTTTTTTAAAATATTTAAAGACTTTATTTTTTTGTCAGAGAGAGAGAGAGAGAGAAAGCACAAGTAGGGGGAGCCGCAGGCAGAGGGAGAAGCAGACTCCCCGCTGAGCAGGGAGCCCAACGTGGGGCTCCAACCCAGGACCCTGGGATCATGACCCCAGCCGAAGGCAGAGGCCCAACCCACTGAGCCACCCAGCTCCCCCCCACCAAGGTTTTTAACTTGAGGAGGGAGATGGTCAAAGGTAGGTTCTAACATCCTCTAGGATCTGATCGGACTGGAAGCTGGGGGTATGGAGAATGGTTTAAGGGGCTGAAGAATGAAAGAATTGGTAGATGAAGGTGGAAAAATGAAAAGCTAACTTAATGAATCCTGAATCAGAAAAGAGAAGGTTTTGAGTTCCGACCTTTATATGTCCAAGAAGAGCCAGTTAAGGGCCTGGGGGTTTCTGACCAGGAACTAAGAGCCGGAAGGGCAGAGGCCTCCACGGTGGCCTGCAGCATGACAGAAACAGACTGACGCAGCTCCAAACACATGTGTTCCTGTTGGCCCGGGAGTTCCTCACTCCTTCAAGTCTGTTGTGCCCCAAGTGTATATTCAGTTTCAATTTTTGCCTCCTCTTCAGGTTTTACCACAGGAGACTAAGTCCGCTCTAAACTGGAATGAATGATTTATGCATCTGAACACTCTGGATGACTGCCTGATTTAGTTGTTTTTCAAATAATACATCTGAACAGGAATTCACACAGGACAGGGCAAACATAGTTTTGAGGTGAGCGCCCTTCCCCAACTGTTGCCCCATTTATCATTCCAAACCATCGTGTGACCTTGTCATCATCCTGTGGAGCCCCGAATCTATCCCTGCACACTAATTAGATGCCAAGTGCCTCCGTCTTGACAGTCAAGATTTGCTCTATCAGACCCTACCACCTGACCTTTACCATCTTATCTCCTGCTACTGTGACTTTCTCCACTGGTCCAAATTCCAGTCACTCAACCAAAGCCCAGTCCAAACACTTCCTACCCTATGAAGCCATGCCTGGTTCCCCTCGAAAGGGTCAAGGCCCTTCACTCTTCCAAATATCCAGAGTCTTCTGTTTTTATATCCCTCATTAGACTCTAAGATTCCCCAGGGGAGCTTGGACATGAACAACGGCTCACAGCAGGTGCCTCAGGGGACTTAGCTGAAATGAGGTGGCACGTTCTCCCACATCCCAAATAGCAGTTAAACAGGCCAGCTCAAGCACACCAAATTTCGGAGTCGATATCTCTAAAGTGCTGTGTGGGCAAGTGGGCAGGGAAAGCCAACCCCCTGGAGCGAATCTCTGACACATGCCTCTTGCACTAACCCCAGTGAAGTGCATTTCCTTCACACTCATTTCACCAGCCTCCTGAAGGCTTCTCCTCTCCCGGCTGACCTTTCTGTTTCCTTCAACTCCTCACATCTGCTGTGTGCCTTTCAGTTTAGGAGTTAGAGTCAGGTCATTATTCCTGACAAGGATGTGATGTGATGCTGACAAGGGCCAAAGGATGCATATGAAGCCGGCATTGTAGTTCAGACAGGTACTTGGGGCTTAGGAACCAGTGACTTGTCCAAGGTCACTCCCAGAAGCGTCAGCGCTATTACTTCACCTAAGCCTTCATTTTGCTAGTGCAATAGAGTCCAACACCTACAAACTGTCTGAGGGTGAAAGGAAAGACACTTTAAAAGTGGTTGTATGGGCACACCTGGGTGGGGTTCAGTCTGGTTAAGCGGCTACTTTCAGCCTGGGTCCTGGGATCAAGCCCTGCATCAGGCTCCCGGCTCAGCGGGAAGCTGCTTCTCCCCCTGCCTGCTGCTCTGCCTGCTTGTCCTCACTCGCTTTCTGTCTCTCTCTGTCAAATAAAATCTTTAAAAAATCATTTTTAAGTTATTTGTATGTCCTGTACTCGCTTCGGCAGCACATATACTAAGTTATTTGTATGTCCTAAATCATACACAAGTGCGGAAAAAGGCCACTCTGAAGGTTAGATGAAATCTAACCACGGCTACAAAGGGAAGCCAGAAAAGGCACTTTCAGATTTTTAGCGTTTGCCACCCACAACTGTTAACTCCGGCTGGCACTCCCCCAGGCTGCACGCTGGAGAACGCGTTGACTAGTTGTGGCAAGGCAAGGCCACCGTACGGCGCCAAGACACCGGTGCTCTGGTTTGCGGAGCCTCGGTGCCTTACGACAGGTGTGCTGGGTTACTCTACACCTGCCCCGTGGATGCCAAGTGGACTGGGTCGGGGTCACCTGATTCTGCGGGTTTAGGCAGAGGCGGCGCGGCGGCGTCTGCCTCACGTGATCCGACTCGGGCAGCGTCGAGCGCGTCGCCCTACGCCCCGCGCACTCGCTCGGTCAAGGTCTGCGCCTGCGCGGCCGCTGCTCGCCGGCTCGCCGACCTGCGGGCTGGCGGCTACCGGGCGCGGACCCGGGCGAGCAGCCGGGCGCCCGCTGCTATGGGTGAGTGCGGCGAGCTGGCGGCATGGGCCTTCCCCCCGCCCCCCGGCCTGTACGCTGAAGGAGGGTCTGAGGAGGCCGCCTGGCCCCGGCCCCCTGGCGCAGCCAATGGGGCCCACTCCTCTCCGCGCTCCCGGCCGCTCCCGCGCGCGCGCGCCCTCCCGGGTGGGGCCCACAGCCGCCGGAGCCGCAGAGGGCGGCGCTCCCGCACAGGGTGGGTTTTACGCCCCCGCGGCTCCCGGCTCCCCCGCCAGCCGCTTGGCTTCGCGGGGGCTCCGCGGGGCGCCGTCTGGCTGCCGGAGCGGGCCTTCCCGGCGAAGAAGGTTGTGCGTTCATCGGACGCACCCCTGCTGGGGAGGTGCCTCCCGCAGCGCACGAACCGGAGGGTGGGCAGGGCTGGGCTTTGCTTGCGCCTGGGGGCGGGCGGCGCTGGGACGGCGGAAGGCCCCTGCCCTCCCGGGGGTTTGGGATTCCGGGACCCCTGAGCCTGTTCCCTGTCGGAGACGGAAGGGGCCTCGGAGATCCTACCCAACCCCCGCCCCTCTTATCCCAGACTGGGGAAATGGACGCCCGGAGGGCGGTAAGTCTAGCCACTGCCGGGCGGTGCTTATTCTGCGACACCATGTTGCATCGCGTTGTGGGAAACTCAATTGTACAAGGCTTTCTGGGGGCGGGCAGGCGGGCGGTGGTGTTCTTCGTTAATCTCTGTCCTGATTATTTACCACTGAGCGTAGCTAGATAGAGCGTGTCGATGCCTTAGCTCTATTTACCCTTTGGGCATAACCTTTATTTTGCCCCGTCAGCTATACTCAGCTGGTCTTAATTCCCATCCTCTGTTTCTCTACATGTAAGCAGTGAAACAGAAGTCCTGGAAGTATATGGGTAGTGACCTTGCCAGTTAGAGCCTTCTCCACCCTTGCTTGGAAAGGATTCAATAAAATCAAAAGGTGCTGGAGCTGGTCAGGTGGGTATCCCAGCGGTTCCCGAGCACAGGTTAGGCACTTTGGATCTGGAGTCACCTTTCGTGGATCTGAAGAAAAAAATCATAAGTTATTACCTCTGAGTGGAGGTATTTGGTTTGTCCTTTGACAGATTAAGCCCAGAGAATTGACTTTTTAAATTAGGAACGTTGCTTTGAGTATAGTAGCAAGATAGTGTCATAACTAGGACTGGAACCCAGACTGATCTTGTTCTCGTTGCTGACTCAGACCTGCTGACTTGTGGGAGTTCATATCCTTTGAGAATTACGTTTGCCTTCCCCCCAGTTTTTTCACAAAGACCTTTGTGCTGGGATCACATCTAGGTCTTGCTTATCCACCTGGGCTGTAAATTACAGTGAGTATTTAGACTTTACACTGTTTAATTATGCCACAAAAGTTTGATACTTGTAGTTGCTTGAAAGTCAGCTTATTAACTGTGCTTCTTATTGTTCACAGAGCTTGAGTGTTTAAGGTAACAAACAGTTTAAAATTATGATAAATAAGTTTTGCAGTAGCAAAGAATTATCCATGTTAAGGAATTTAAATACAGAGATCAGTTTAGTAAAGAAATTTAGCTGTGTTCACAGTATAGATAAACATATAAAATTCTAAACTCCATTGCCACAGAATACTATGCACACTGTCCTTGCTTCTGTTGCCAAATTAAGAATCTATTAATACCATCCTGGTGTGTGGGATGAAACTAGAGGGAAAGCTTTATTTATTTATCTTCTTTCCACATGTGGTTTCTTTGAAGACATCACAAGTCTCAGGAGGTTAAAATTAGAGGGAAAGTTTTAAATTTGTGAAGTCTAGGAGGGTTTCATTACCTTCCTTTTTCTATGCCCAGGCCAGTTTTTTAAAATTTGAGACTTTAAATGTATGGTGATTTTTTTTTTTTTTTTTTTTTTTTTTTTTTTTAAAGAGCAAGAGGCAAGAGTACACAAGGTTTGTGGTTGGGTAGGGGAGTGTGGCAGAGGGAGAGGGAGAAGCATGCTCCCTGCTGAGCAGGGAGCCAAATCTGGGGCTCTATCCCGGGACCCAAAGGCAGATGCCAAACTGGCTGAGCTATCCAGGCACCTATACGGTGATGTTGTCAAAATATCTTAAAACAATTGAATATAGGGGTCAGTAAATGGCTAACTTCTGCTAGCCATAGTTTTCTGTTTAATAACAGTCTCCATTATTACAAACAGCCATGACAAGCTAGCTAAAGTAACTTTAATTTGTAAAATTTTGGGAAGTAAGTCATTCCAATAAAAATTAAAAGTGAACATGGACAAAATTTGGTAGGTCGGGTATACAAATAACTTAGTTTGTATGGTTTGCAGGTGGTAACTTTAGAATTTAAAATTGTATTATGTATTCAGTATGTAAATGACATATCTTACATTCATAAGTTGTCACAATGTGGTATTATATAATCATATATACATTAACCAGACTATTCTTGTTGATTTTATCATTCTGTAGTCCTGAGATTGAAGGAAAGCAAAGCATTACATAGATGTAAGGCATTTGTATGCTAAGCTGTTTTAAAATGTTGGTTAATCTTAGATTGGCAAGTGTGGTTCTAATAAGAGTTCTTAAATTCATGTCTGTCAGCTGAAATAGCAAGAAATTAGGATGTAGAAGACTAAGTGATTAATAATAACCCAGCTCTACCCTGGCAAACTTCTTTTTAAGCATCTTCAGAGTTCCTTTTTTTTTTTTTTTTTTTTAAACTAAAAATGCCATTGGCGAAAAAAAGAAAAATTAAAATGCCTTTTTTTTTTTTTTTAATTTCTTTTCGGTGTAACAGTACTCATTGTTTTTGCACCACACCCAGTGCTCCATGAAAATACGTGCCCTCTCTAATACCCACCACCTGGTTCCCCCAACCTCCCACCCGCCATTGGTTTCTTTAACTGGTTTAGAGCAAAAAATGCAACAGGCAGGTGTGTTTTAAATCGAAAAGCTGTGGGTGGTTTTTTTATCCCCCCAATTCTCTCCAAGTCCGATAAATACCCACAGAAATGGTGTGTGAGGAAAAGCTGTCATACACAAGAAGTGTATCCTGAGTAAGGAAAACTGCTGTTGAAACAGGAATTAACATAAAGTCAGCAACAGGTGAACAGTTTTAAAAACTGATTCTTCAGGGTGCCTGGCTGACTCCGTGGTTCGTGCAACTCTTGATCTTGGGGTTGTGAGTTTAAGCTTCATGTTGGGTATAGCGATTCCTTTAAAAAAAATCTTAAAAATAATTGAGTCTTCAAATGCCACATGGCACAATGCCATACTGTATGAATTACTGAGAGACTGCTGTGTAGGAAGGAGGAAGTCTGTACGGCTTTTAGCAAAAATGCTTTTCCAGAAAAGCAAATCAAAACGATGCAGTCAGCAGATCAAGGAAGCTATAGCTAGATATCAGAACTATGGCTTCTCATATCTGTGCCGGAGGATCCTATTCAAAATGGACTAAAATTGCAGGATGAAACAGGGACTTTTAAAAAAACATTTCTTTATCCATTTTAAGTTCTCTGCTTCTCCTCCCCCGCCCCCCTGCATTTCAGATTGATCTAGCAGGAAGATGGTTGCCATTGGCTATTTTATTTTTCTTTCCGTGGCAAGACTGTCATGGTGCCTGGGTATTTCAGGTTTGTATGCTTCTCTTACCGTTGTCCTGTTGTTGGCAAAACACTTAGTAATGGACTTAATGTAACTGGCTTGCTGCTGCTGCTGCTTTATTCTCCCACTAATAAAGGTCAGCTTCAGAGTGTTTTTATCTCAGATCTTTTGAGGCTAGAGCACAGTTGCCAAATTTTAGGATCCATCCTTGTATGATCTTCCTGTGGGCCACCAGAAAGATGCTCTTCTCCTGAGCATAAATAAAGGATATGATAAGACACACAAAGCCAAAACAGGTTCTGGTTCTGGAGCTGAGCACATATAATGCCAAATCGAGGCCACTATGTCAAAGAAACAGGAGATGATGAAGCAACCATCAGACCAAAATTCTTCAAGAGTATCTTAAAAAGTAATATATATATTTTTTATATTTTATTTATTTGACAGAGATCACAAGTAGGCAGAGAGGCAGGCAGAGAGGGAGGGAGAAGCAGGCTCTCCACTGAGCAGAGAGCCCGATGCGGGCCTCCATCACCTGAGCTGAAGGCAGAGGCTTTAACCCACTGAGCCACCCAGGCGCCCCTTAAAAAGTAATATTAAAAAGTTTTGCTCAAAGGAAAATACATCACCTTAAACACTCAAAAATTAAGAAAAAAAAGAAGAAATTAGAATGTAATAAACTAGACAAAAAGAAGAAATTAGAATGTAATAAACTAGACAAAACAGGAGAAAAGAGATAAAGAGGAAAACAAATTTAAAAACTGAAAATAGTAAAACTGGTAACTTTAAGAGCTGTGTTTTTGTGTCTGGGATGGAAGGAATGTAAATTTGACAAACTGGCTATCCTGCTCAAGAAAAAAGGGAACATAAGTAGACAAGACTAGAAGTTTTTGTTTTGTTTTTTTTTTTTTAAAGATTTTATTTATTTATTCATGAGGGACAGAAAGGCAGGGGGAGAAGCAGGCTCCCTGTGGAGCAGAGAGCCTAATGAGGGACTTGATCTCAGGACCCTGGAATCATGACCTGAGCCGAAGGCAGTTGCTTAACCATCTGAACCACCCAGGCGTCCCTAGAAGTATTTTTTTTTTTTTTTTTTTTTTAAACAAGTACTGGGGCGCCTGGGTGGCTCAGTGGGTTAAAGCCTCTGCCTTCGGCTCAGGTCATGATCCCAGGGTCCTGGGATGGAGCCCCACGTTGGGCTCTCTGCTCCACAGGGAGCCTGTTTCCTCCTCTCTCTCTGCCTGCCTCTCTGCCTACTTGTGATCGCTGTCTGTCAAATAAATAAAATCTTTAAAAAAATAAAAAATAAAAACAACAAGTACTATGTAAGACTATATAAATAAACCAGAACTTTTTTTTTTTTTAAAGGAACTACAGTATAAAAATGGACTGTGGAGGAAAGAACCTAACAGACCAGTAACAATGGAAGAAATTGAGAAAGTTATCAAAAAGCTACCATCCCCCAAAACACCAGGCCCAGATGGTGTTACAGGTGAATTCCTTTAACTTTGAAGGAAAAGGTAATTTTGATAAGGTTTAAATTTTACACCAGCCTTGGGAAGGAAAAGTGACAGATTGTTTTTACAGAGCTAATGGAACATGGACGCCTGAACTTGGTGTGAGATAGTAATAAAATTAAAAATTTGGTATGTTCTAGTGATGTGAAATTTTAAAATAAAATATTAGCAAATGGTATCTAGTAATACATTAAAAAAAAATTTCACCATGGCCAAGGAGTATTCATATCCAATTTATGAGGGCAAGTAATTAACAAGAAATAATGCTAACGTATACACCAAATAAATTAGAGAATAATAATAATAATAGGCCATCCTTGTTGAGCACCTCTAGTGCTCTAGAGTATTCTGGATATTGTACAAGTAGTAACGCAAATTACTGAGCCCACCTATGAGGTAGGTAGCATCTTTATTTTATAAATGAGGAAGTTAAGCCATAGAGACATTGAGAAACTTGAAGAAGGTCACACAGTGGATATGTGCTGGAGCCAGGATTTGAATTGAGGCTGTTAGCTGCATCTCATAAATGTTACGCTGGTTCTGTCTCTAGTATTCATAGGGTCATCTCAGTAGCTTCCTAAAAGCATTTGACCAAAGTTCCTGATTGAGTGGTGGTGGGAGGGGTTGAAGGTGTTTGAATATCTGTAAAACAGGAATAAATGTGTTTGCCCTTCCCGTGTTTGAAAACTCTCTGAGCCCTTATCAGGTGATCATTGGTATTAGAAAAATGGAATGTAATTTTAATGGGAAACATAATTTCCTGGTAAATAGCAGGGGGAAGAGGCTAATGTTATAATAGAAGATACACTAGTTCCTAGGATGAATGCAGAATGAGGTTTTGGGGGTTTTAAGGTAGCTTATCCAATGAAATTAGTGATAGCGCTGGAAAGACATGCTTTACTTCGTATTTGTAGCACAATCCTAAATGTGGGTAGGCATAGATGGTGAACAGGGAAGGTTACTTGAGTGGGTACAGATTTTGTAGGGACGAGTTCAGTAAACATTGTTGTGTCATGATCTATTTCCCTATGTAAACTTGAAACTGCTAGGACTTAGATTATTAATGCTCTGATGACAACTTTGTTTCTTACACCAAAGACCAGTGTTAATGCCTCATAGTAATTCCTAGCAAAGTTCCTATACATGTCAAAAATAAAAAGATATTCACTATTACTATTACTTAATTTTGTTCAGGAAATATTTGCAAATCTATTAAGATAAAGGTACATATTATAGTGAAGTCAGAATTATTTGTGGTATTTTATGTAGTAGAAGCTAAAGCAAACCAGTCCAAAAATGAGAAATTGTAAGAGGATTTGGTAAGTTGGCTGATTCTAACCTTAATACATAAGAATTGGTAGCTTTTTCATATGCAGGCAATAAACAGTTCGAAAGTGAATAGGAAGGAAAAGGCCCATTCATAATAGCAACTGAAAAGATAAAATACCTAGAGGTAAGAAATACTCAAGATCTGGGGGGCACCTGGGTGGCTCAGTCAGTTGAGCCTCTCTCTTGATTTCTGCTCAGGTCATGACCTCATAGTCCTGAGATACTCAATAGGGCTCTGTGCTCAGTGGAGTCCGCGGCTCCCCTCCCTCTGCCTCTTCCCCGGTCAGTACTGCACGCGCTCTTTCAAATCTTTTCTAAGATTTTATTTGTTTATTTGACAGAGATCACAAGTAGGCAGAGAGGCAGGCAGAGGAGGAAGCAGGCTCCCTGCTGAGCGGAGAGCCCATGCGGGGCTCGATCCCAGGACCCTAGAATCATGACCTGAGCTGAAGGCAGAGGCTTAACCCACTGAGCCACTCAGGCGCCCCTCTTTCAGATCTTAAATTCAAGGGGAGCCTGGGTAGCCCAGTGGGTTAAAGCCTCTGCCTTCAGCTCAGGTCATGATCTCAGGGTCCTGGGATTGAGCTCCGCATCGGGCTCTTTGCTTTGCAGGGAGCCTGCTTCCCCCCTCTCTCTCTCTGCCTGCCTCTCTGCCTACTTGTGATCTCTCTCTGTCTGTCAATAAATAAATAAAATCTTTTAAAAAAAATAAAAGGACTATTAAATTCAAGATCTGTATGAAAAATTTTTCAATGCTACTAAGGTTTGTGAAAGGACCCAAATGAATAGGAAGACCTATTCCTATGAAATATGGTTTGATTTTGGAAAAGTGACAGGTCTTTTCATTTATCTATGAAGTCACTTTCTCTGTAAGATACCAAGAATTTTGGGAGGAATATGACAGAGATACACTAAAGTTTATCAAGAGAAGTCTGCGATCCAAGAAAACTGCTAGTTCTGAGAAGAGTATGGGGAAGCGCTACAACATGGTGACACGCGTCCTAGCACTGTAGCAGGTCCGAGCAGGTTGGCACTCAAGAAGCGCTGGGATGCTGGCGGAGCAGAGCCAGTGCAGACACACGTGCACGCGCGCCCACGGGCATTTGGATGCTGCTCACCCGTCACTTCCAGAGGCAGGCTCTTCTCTTTGCCTCACTCCTTACACTGAAATTTCCAGAGAGATTCCCGTATGACTTGTAAATGAATCCGTGAAGCTTGGAGAGGGAAGCGTGGGTTACTCCTTCATACTTTTAGAGTAAGGAGGGCCTTCGGAGGACATTATAAAGCCTAGAAGCCAAGATCATAGACTTAATATCCAAATTAAGAACTTCAGTATCACAAAAATAATAAAGTAGGAAAAGTATTTGCCAAAATTTGATTACTAGAACCAGAAATGATTTTCTTCATATATGAAGAAATTTTGCAAATCAGGAAAGTTCTTCTGCCTATTAGAAATAAAGGTAACATGAAAATTTATAGTAAAAGAAGTTCAAATGATCAAAAATGAAAAAATGCTATAGTTTATTTTTTTAAGCAGGCCCCTCTGCTGAGCAGGGAGCCCGGCACAGGGCTGATCCGAGGATGCTGGGATCATGACCTGAGCCTAAGGCAGATGCTTAAAACTGACTGAGCCACCCAGGCGCCTCAAAACGCTGTATCTTAATCAGAAAGTTTAAATGACAAATGCGATTCTTTACCCATCAGTTGATGCTGGAAACGTTGGTCCTGGTACTGGCATACGTACAATGGAAGTATAAATCCTCGTAAGTTCTGGGGTAGCTTGGAGTAGCTATCAGATTTAAATGTATTACTCTTTGAGCCAGCAGTGCTATTCTGAGGATTTATCCTACAGATAAACTTGCAAGAGTTCACCCAAGCAAGGTATAGGTAGGTACGAGGTTGCCCAAAGAAGCATTCTTTAAAAAAAAGAAAAAGCCAAACCCAAACAAAAAAACAGGGACCAAAATAGGAGATAGAATAAATTACATATAATATGTCCATTTGTTAGAGTATTACACAGTCATTCCAAATACTGGGGTATCTCCATGCTGTTATTAGAAGATAACAATGCATTGGGAGTGTCATTAGTGGCAGGCTGACTGGTAAAGAGGCTTTCCCACAGTGAGTCTAGACACGGAGAGCCCTAAGCCAGGGCAGTGAGCCTGGAGTGGGGAGATGTATGTATATTTAATTGATTTACAACTTTATTTTCTCTTAAAATCTTTTTTAAATGTTTATTATTAATGTGTCATTTTTTCTTAAAATAATGTTTCTTTTATGAATTTTCATTGAAATGACTCATTTGTTGGTTTATTGGATCTATAAGCAGCCCAACTCCAAGGAATCTAGCTGAGTTGAGCATCTAGGTGACTGCATAATCTGTTTTTTTTTGTTTTTTTGTTTTTTTTTCTTTTAATTTGAGAGAGAGAGAGACAGAGACAGTGAGAGAGCATGAGCGAGGAGAAGGTCAGAGGTAGACGCAGACTCCCCGTGGAGCTGGGAGCCCGATGCGGGACTTGATCCCGGGACTCCAGGATCATGACCTGAGCTGAAGGCAGTCGCTTAACCAATTGAGCCACCCAGGCGCCCTGCCCCTCATTGTTCTAATACCTGCCAAGATGAGAAATAATTCCTGTCTCTGAGCTAGGCTTTACTTTGATCATTTATACTGCAGAGGAACACATTTTCAGAACACCAGGGAACCATTTTTCCTGCCCTTTAAACTGAGTCACAGTAGTGCTGAGCAGCATTCAGCCCTAAGTCCCGCTGCTCCCAGTGCTCTGCCCAAGGGGAGGGCATGTTCCTTGTGAACAGAGTGGCGCCGGGAGGTGGTGTGGCTCCCACAGCTTGTGGGGGCGGACAGTGAAACATTGCACCCCGGCACTGTTGAGTTGTGTTGGTGTAGCCAGGCGACTTAGTGGTGAGGAACGTTTGCTGACCCCTTTCAGGACCTTCTTTCCGACAGGGTTTGGGCCAGCAGTGGTTTTCTAGTCACAGTTTTTCTCAGCAAGTTTATCTTTTCTAATAGAAACATGGACTAAGCCAGCTGGAACTCCAACAGAACAAAGAAACTTCGAGCCAGAGTGTTCAATGATACATTTTCTTCTTAGTGTGGTCTATCTTGTGGGAAGAGGACACATAGACCCTGGTGTGACATACTTAAGGAAAATAGCTTGTTTCCATTTGCTTCTCATGAGAAAGGAAAAAAAAAAAACAGTACAGAGCAGTGTCAGAGGGTCTTGGGATCTTCCTGTCTCGTAATGCTGGTTCAAGCCTGCTTCCCTGTGGTCCTCTGCCACCCACCCATCTTCCACCCACATTCTGCTCTACAGAACATATTTGAGTAATTCCTTGAGAACTCGATCTGCTGCGCCTCTGACTCAGGACTGACACCTCAGCCTGCACTGCCACCGTTAGCTGAATGTGCTTCTGCCCACACATCCTATCCCGCCCTGTCCCTGTCTCCAGACAGCTAGTTAATGACCCCTTTCTCTGCGGAGGCCTTTATACACCTGGTGCATATTTCCGTGCTCACATTTATTGTTTTGTAGTCTATCGTTTGCATGTCCTGTCTCCCCTGAGGCCAGGGTTCTCATTTATCTCTAATCTCTGACATGGCAGTGCCTTTGAATAAGTTGGTTGAATTTAATTTTCTTAGTATGCTAAGAGGCCAGTGTAAAAGCAGACAAAGAGGAAGAAGTCCCCAACAAAAAAGCAAATGAAGGTCGTCTTGACAGTGTTATCCTGTAAGTCTGAATGAAACAGAAAAAAAAAATTATTTTATGGAGATTTTATTTATTTATTTGGCAGAGAGAAAGCACAAGCAGGGGGAGCGGCAGGTAGAGGGAGAGGGGGAAGCAGGCTTCCTGATGCCGGGCTTGATCCCAGGACCCTGGGATCATGACCTGAACTGAAGGCAGACGCTGAATGACTGAGCCACCCAGGTGCCCCAGTACTCTTTTAATATCTGTATGACATCCCATCAGGTGGATACATCTTCATACTGTTGAGCATTTAGTTTTTATTCAGTACTTCTTAAGAGTGTTGTGACTGTCGCCTAGTTGAATCTTTGTGTACATCTTGTATGAATAACTATTTCCATAGGCTGTACTCCTAGAAGGGAGTTGCAGATGTGTGTTTCGTATTTGATATTACGTATCTGTGGCTCCTGTAGATATAAGCTCCCCAGGAACTGATTTTTCTGATTCTTTTCTGTGCTTCAGCTGTGCACTGCACTTTTTTGACAGTGCGAGTGCACAGACAAGCAGGGAGAGCAACGTGGAGAGGGAGAGGCAGGTTCCTGCTGAACAAGGACCCGGATGTGGGGCTCAATTGCAGGACCTCAGGATCGTGACCTGAGACAAAGGCAGACACTTAACCCACTGAGCCACCCAGGCGCCCCTGGCCTGCACTTCATAGTGTTTACATTTTAACTTCTTTTGTCCTGAATGCTCAATAGTTGATGTATGAAACTATACCCATTAAGCAAAAACTCCATGTTCCCCCTTCCCCAGACTCCTGGCAACTACCATTCTACTTTCTGTCTATATGAATTTGACTGTTCTAGGTACTTCATGTAAGTGAAATCATACAGTACTTGTCCTTTTATGACTGGTTTATTTTACTTAATGTCCTCAGGGTTCACCCCTGTCCAAGTATGTAACAGGACTTCCTTATCCACATAGTTTTCCACTGTCTGTATATATACACCATGTCTTGTTGTTTGAACATGTCATGCGGCAGTGGGCGCTTGTGTTGCTGCCACCTCTTGGCTGTTGTGAATTGCACTGCTGCGGATATGCGCGTGTGCCTCGTGAGACCCTGCTTTCAGTTCTTACCGGATACATTCCTGCAAGTGAGACTGCTGAATCCTGTTAGTTCTGTTGTAAGTTTCTGTAGAACTGCCGCTCTGGTTTAGTGGCTGCACCATTTTACATTCTCACCAGCAGTGCACAGGGACACTGAGCTTCTCCACAGCTCCGCCTACACTTGTTATTTTCTGTTTGTTTTAAATAGTAACTATCCTAATGATCTCATTGTGTTTTGATTTGCATTTCTCTGTTGATTGATGTCAAGCATCTTTTCATATGGCTGTTGGCATCTGAGTGTGTTTAACAGTTTTTTGGTAGTGGTTTTTTTTTAAGATTTTATTTATTTATTTGACAGACACAGCGAGAGGGGGAACACAATCACATGGAGTGGGAGAGGGAGAAGCAAGCTTCCCACTGATGCAGGGGCTCGATCCCAGGACCCTGGGATCATGACCTGGGCCGAAGGCAGCCACTTAACGACTGAGCCACCCAGTTGCCCCAAGGTGTTTTTTGTATCTGTTTTTGTTTTTTAGATTTCATTTATTTGAGAGAGAAAGGGAGAAAAAGCATGAATGGGGGAGGGGCCACAGGAGGGAGGGAGAAGCAGACTCCCCATCGAGCAGGGAGCCCAAAGCGATGGGGAAGCTCAGCGCAATGCTGATGATGCGGATGGAGCTCCATCCCAGGACCCCGAGATCATGTACTTTGTGACCTGAGCTGAAGGCAGCTGACTAAGCCACCCAGGCACCCCTGTTTTACAGGATTTTTTTTTTTTTTTTTTTTTTGACAGAGAGCACAAGCAGGCAGAGAGAGGGGGAAGCAGGCTCACTGCCAAGCAGAGAGCCCGATGCGGGGCTCGATCCCAGGACCCTGAGATCATGACCTGAGCCAAAGGCAGAGGCTTAACCCACTGAGCCACCCAGGTGCCCTCTGTTTTACAGTTTTGTGGATTTCTTTCATGTCTGGCTTAAAAGATGGGTGGAGTTCCGTATTTTCTTGTATCTCTCCTTTGGAGAAATGGCTATTCAAGTCCTTTGCTCATTTTTTAGTCAGGTTTTTTTTTTTTTGGTCAGAGAGAGTGAGCACAGGCAGGCAGAGGCAGAGGGAGAAGCAGGCTTCCTGCTGAGCAAGGAGTCCGATGTGGGACTCGATCCCAGGATATTTTTTTATTGAGTGGTCTCATAAATGTGGTGTACTGTTGAGGAAGTAAAAGCAACTTAAAAATATTTAGCTTGTTGGGGGCCCTAAGTGGCTCAGTTGGTGGAACATGGACTCTTGATCTTGGGGTAGTGAGTTTGAGTGCCATGTTGGGTTTAGAGATCCCTTAAAAGAACCTTTAAAAAAAATACGTAGCTTGTTCTATCTAAGATACAATACAATTGCCATGTAGTCCCCCAGTAAAGCTTATTTCTGGGCTGTAGGATTGTTCTGGATGATGCAGCTGTTTAGATCCTCTGGAGAAAATCAGACTTAGATGTCTGGCAACAGGATAGCCTGGCCATTTTAAGGACGCTGGTGTGTTCTGGGGGAGGACTTCACCTTTGTTTTACTCGGTGAGCTAAGCCCGTGGGTGTAGGCTTCAGATCTTCAGCATCTGATAGAGCTGCATTGTCAGGGCAGCCTCCCAGAGTCACTGCCATCCTTTGGTGCATTCGTGGGAACATGCACCCCTGTAGTCAGACTTTCGATGCCAGCTCCACTTACTTTCTATAACTCAAAGGAGAGTATTGGTGTTTTCATTGGTAACACTGGGAAAGTACAGTGTATAGTACATACCTGCAGGCCTCCCTTGACCCTGTTCTTCCAGTCTCTACCTTCCAAGGTGTGTGTTCAGTGTCCCTTATGCACAGCACGTATCTGTCATATGAGGTATGTACACTGTGGGGTACTTGTTTACCTTGCCAGTCTCCTGTTACATTGTGAGTTCCTTGCCTTTTTTTTTTTTTTTTTTTAAGATTCTTATTTATTTGAGAGAGAGTACGAACAGGGGTGAGGGATGGAGGGGAGTCTGCTTCTCCCCGCTGACCAGGGAGGCCAATATGGGGCTCGATCCTGGGTTGCCAGGATCATGACCTGAGCTGAAGGCAGGCGCTTAACTGACTGAGCCACCCAGGTCCCCTGTGAGTTCCTTGCTCTTAAATCTCTAGCACTTGGGGCGCCTGGGTGGCTCAGTGGGTTAAAGCCTCTGCCTTCTGTTCAGGTCATGATCTCAGGGTCCTGGGATCGAGCCCCACATCGGGTTCTCTGCTCAGTGGGGAGTCTGCTTCCTCCTCTCTCTCTCTCTGTGCCTGCCTCTCTGCTTGCTTGTGATCTCTCTCTGTCAAATAAATAAATAAAATCTTAAAAAAAAAATAAAATAAATCTCTAGCACTTGGCAAAGGTCCTAGTCCAGAGTAGACACTGAGTGTTAGTGAACAGAATGAATGAATGCATATTTTGCTATTTTATTTCTCAAGGGAAGACTTTGAATCTTTTTCAGAAAGATAATGGTATAGACCATTATGTAGCGTAGAACGTATGAATTAGTCCAGTAGTTCTCAAATTTTTTGGTGTCAAGACCCCTTTACACTTAAAAATTATTGTGGACCCTAAAGAGCCTTTATTTATCTGGATTAGTATTTATGGTCTTAGAAATCTAAATTTTAAAATATTAATTCACTTTATGTATTTATTTTAAAATATTTATAATTTATAATTATTTAAATTAGAAATTATAATTTTTAAAATTTTATAAATTATAAATTTATATGCATTTATTTAAAATTTATGTGTGTCTTAACTCCTGCATGGGTCAGGGGAGAGGGGAGGGGCAGAGGGAGAGAGAGAAGGAGAAAGTCAAGCAGATTCTACCCTGAACGCAGAGCTAGATGCAGGGCCTGATTCTGTGACCCTGAAATCATGACATGAGTCAGAATGAAGAGTTGGACACTCAACCTGCTCAACTGACTGAGCCGCTAGGCGCTCCTCATTTGCTTTAAAATAACATGTTAACATAGACAACACATTTTCATGAAAAATAACTATTTTCCAAAAAATTAATGAGAAAAGTGTGTTTTCCCATTTTGCAGGTCTGTGTGATGTCTGGTGTAAAAGATAGGTGGGGTCCCGTATTTGCTTGTGCATTGTGTGTGGTGAGAAGTTGTTCTGGTTAAAGTAGATGCAGAAAATCCAACTTCACACAGGTACGTGGCTAGAAAAGGAAAGACCTGCTGGACCCCTGCAAGGGTATCAGGGACCTCGAGGGGCCCTCTGAAAATATGGTCACAATTACTGATGTAGTCTAACAGGGAAAATGTAATCGTGTCCAGAAATTAAAGGGTTAAGGAAATAAGGAAACATTCCACATGTTTAGCCCTGTCCTTGATGGCTGACCTGTTGTCGTTTTCTTATTTGTAGGTTAAAAATACCCTTCATGAAGAAGAAAGATCCTAAGCAACATGGTGGATTCAGAAGCTCATGAAAAGAGGCCGCCCATCCTGACATCTTCAAAACAAGACCTGTCACCTCATATCACGAATGTCGGGGAGATGAAGCATTACTTGTGTGGCTGCTGTGCAGCCTTCAACAACGTAGCCATCACGTTTCCCATTCAGAAGGTGCTCTTTCGGCAGCAGCTGTATGGGATCAAAACGAGGGACGCGGTGCTCCAGTTGCGGAGGGATGGTTTCCGAAACTTGTACCGGGGCATCCTGCCCCCACTGATGCAGAAGACGACGACACTGGCACTCATGTTTGGGCTCTACGAGGACTTATCTTGCCTTCTCCGCAAGCACATCCGTACCCCCGAGTTTGCGACCCGCAGTGTGGCCGCAGTGCTTGCAGGGACGACAGAAGCAATTTTCACTCCATTGGAAAGAGTTCAGACATTGCTTCAAGACCACAAGCATCATGACAAATTTACAAACACTTACCATGCTTTCAAGGCACTCAAATGCCATGGAATTAGAGAGTATTATCGAGGCTTGGTACCTGTTCTTTTCCGTAATGGATTCAGCAATGTCCTTTTCTTTGGCCTTCGAGGTCCCATTAAGGAGCATCTGCCTACTGCCACAACTCACAGTGCTCATCTGGTCAATGATTTTATCTGTGGAGGTCTGTTGGGTGCCATGTTGGGAATCTTGTTTTTCCCAGTTAATGTCGTGAAGACTCGCATGCAGTCTCAGATTGGTGGGGAGTTTCAGTCTTTTCCCAAGGTTTTCCAGAAAATCTGGCTAGAGCGGGACAGGAAGCTGACGAATCTTTTCAGAGGTGCTCACCTGAATTACCATCGCTCCCTCATCTCTTGGGGCATAATCAATGCAACTTATGAGTTCTTGTTAAAGATTATATGAAAGAAACCATCAGTTAAGTGCCATTTGTTAACTGAATAGACCTAAGAAGAACGCAGTTTGGCCTGGTTTCTAATTGGCCAAATACAAGTTGGTGTCATAAGTTCAGGGCACAGTGAATTATGGGCAAAGCTGTTTTCTTGAAGCACCAACAAATTCAGAATAAAAGGTTCTAATAGGAAAATTTAAGGGGTTTTTGGTTTTGTTTTTTCATTATTATCCGAGAACTTTAGGCTAATTGCCTGGTTAAGAGCTGTCTCTCTGACTGCTTTTGACAAGGAAAACAGCCACAGTATGATTCTTTTTCCCAAAAGTCTTTAAAATCTTCCGTATTGAAATGTCAGTGGCCATGAGCAGCCAGAGAAAAGGCTCTTAGAGCCATGTGAATTCTCAGGCTTCCTTCTCTTACTCCATTTCTTGCTTCTCTGCTTTTAGGAGGAGTTACAGAGGGTAGTCTTCGTTAAACATAAGCGTACACATGTAGGACAAACAACAGAAGAGAATAGCTTAATAGGTGTAGGCTTTTTATGATAAATTGCTTATATTAGTTTTGAAACTAAGTACCTGTTTGGATAGTCCTTATCTAGACTACTCAGACATGGTGTGGCAGAACCAAGCAAGCTAGTCCAAGCTCCCATTTTCCTGTCTAGCTTGGAAGGTTTTGTGTCTAGTTCTGAGTGTGACCTTAAACCCTTCCCAAATCCCCTTATGTTAATTTCACTTATTTCATTGCCAAAACACGGGGAGACTTACATTTCGTTACAGGCATTTCTTCCTGTGAAGAAATTTCATATTAATTGCAAACTCTGGTTAATTCAGTTTCTTTGATTAATTGTTGCCAACTTCATGAAGAGATTTGGGAGATTGGGGAGTGTTTTTTTCTTTGAGTTGTAGTTTGTCATATCGAAGTATCCTGTTTTCTTAAAACTCGCTTTAAAAAAAAAAAACCACTTCTATAAGATTGTATTTTGGAAGTCTATTAATGGGATTCTAGATTTCTCTCTCCTGGTTTTTAAGCATTACAGAAGGGGAGAAAACAAATCTCAGGATAGCTTTCCCCCCAGTATTAGCTTTTTTATTTGAGTCTTGAAATAGAGACTTCTATTAGGATTTTTACATTTGGGAACCCAGTTTTATCATTTTATCATTAAAACATTAAGACAGTTTGAGATAAGATCAAAATAAAGATATTTGTTGGGTTAATTTTAAATGCTACTAGTTCGTAATAGCTGGATAGCATACTCATCCCTTACTTGATAGAGAAAAACTTGTCAAAGGAATCAGATTTTAAAATATTTTTTCCAGATCGATGAAGCAAAATCCCTCTCTTTACCAACTGAATAATTAATAAAACTTGAAACATTCTAGAAAAGTAGTTTATCAGTCTTTTAAAAATCCACATCTGTAAATATGTAGTTATGATTGCTTGCCAGCATCTGACATGGCAGAGTAGTTTGGTTTCTTGTTACCAGTTTTTCATCATTCTGGGTAATTGCATATGAATATGTGCACACAATGACCAAAATAAAATCAGGGTCTCGGTAGTTTACTCAGTTTCTGGGCAGATAGTCCAAAAGCAATGTTTACCTCTAAATGCAATATGGCTGATCACATAAGCACTCTTCCAACCATAAAGGATTGGGAAGCAGCATCAAGCACTTGTCAGGCACTAATGAGGCTCAGTAGCTTTACAACAGCCCCTTTGAAAATGTGTTGGAAATGGCAGTTTACTTTGGAAACCAAGATGCAGAGGTGAGGATTTCAGAAAGCAAGGATTTGACACCAAATAAACGTGAGTAGCATCATGAGTAGCATCGTTTGGCTTGTTGAATAGTCTGGCTTTGAAGCGGGTTGAGTTTGTGGCAGGGGGCGGGGGACGGGGACGGGGTACGGAAATGAAAGACAAAGGCACCTGAGGTCTGGTGGTGCTTGGCCCCTGGCCCGCCACACTTGTGGCAGGTGAGTTAGCCTGGGGTCATGCCCTGGGGATCGGCTTCCTTTTGTCTATTAATACACTCCTGTGAGGTGACAGATAACCCAAGTTCTAAAGCACTTTTGTGAAATACAAGTGAGAATTTGAAAAGGGGATGCTTTGGTTTCTGCAATCTCAAACTTGTGGCGTTTAAAAACAACAAATATTTTTAATGTTTTTAACTCATACTTGGATTTCTTTGTCACTTTTTACAGCTTTTGGAGACCAAACTATAAATATATTACCAGGGATGGTTTTGTGTTGTCCTATAGACTTCTTAAATTTGACAAAAAATTTGAACAGAACTTGCTTGTGGTAGCCAACAGCTTTGTCTGAACCTTAAAAGTCAAAATGTGTTATATAAGAGATCCTAACTACTTGTTTTTACCTTCGGTGTGAACTAGTAGTAATTTTGAAAAGGCAAACGTGACTGAATAACTTTACCTGAAGAGCTTTAAAAGTGGCCTTTCTGTTACATACGTGGCACAGACGGCTTACGAGCTCGGGGCCCTTGGCCCTGCCTCCCATACTTCATCTCTGACGCCACCAGAGATGTCTTACGGATTCTGTATCTAACATGCTTAGGGTGGTAAGAGCCCTCAGGACTGCATCACAGAGTAAACACAACCTTTCCGAGGCGGCAGATTTGTGTGTCTTTGTTTCATTTGTGGCTGGAGACAGTCAATGTTTTTGTCTCAGTAGTCAATATTCATCTTACCTTATGGTTGGTTATGTAATCGCCTGCTATATACTGTAAGCTGTGCAATAAAACAATTGTGTATCTGGGATCACCTTTGGAGACGTGACATTTCCTAGCTCGATGACGTCCGTTCTCGCGCTGTGCGAACATAGAATCATGGGCGGCAGACCGCATGTGCAGAATGGGACCTGGAGGCCTTTCTGGGGCCGCTGATGGCGCCGTGTGGGGAAACGGCAGGTCCGAGCAGATGGAAGTTCGAGAGACGTGTGTGGTCCAAGTGAAGGCAAGGCAGGAGATCACGTGGGAAGGAAGGGTGAGCGCTCAGACTTGATCTCCTTTCAATTAAAATACTCTTTGTTTTCTTGTATGTATAAATGCGTATCCAAGATCTAACAGGCGTTCTCCTTAAGTTTGAGGATTTTTCATTTTTAATACTCTTAATGCCGTCTTTTTGCTTGATAGTATTTGCTTGCCTAAATGGCTCCCAGATTGTGGGGGAGTCTCCACTTTGTTTTTTTGGGGGTTTTTTTTTTAAGTTTCATTATTAAAAGTGGTTAAGCACACAAAGCTGTTTATGTTTAATATTTTTTGGGTTTTGTGACTGACTTTAAATGAAACCTGTTAAATGTGTCAGTTAACATTCTTTTGGTAATTCTGTTGAATAAAGTTTTTATTTTCAGTCCATTCTATTTGGTCTTCTCTTGTGGTTGGGTTAGGGTTACTAGCACTTTTTTGTGGTTTGTCTTTTTGTTGAGAAATCATTTAGCATACTACTTCCAACCCTTCAGCACCTTCCTCTGGTAACTTTGCAGGTAGAATAGCCCCTCATTGATCCATCTTACTAGGTCAGGAGGAGTTCCAGATTTTTCTCACAATGAAGTAAACTTTACTGACTATAAACTGAATTCGTATATTCAGTTTATTAATAACTTCCGTGGTATAGTGTACCTTCAGGTCATGTTTACCCCCAAGCTAAATGATATGGATGTTGTGCTTTTTGAGGTTTTTTTTTCTACTTTTAACTTAATAACTGTTCCTTTCTGTTAGAAGGCTGACATGCCAGCCTGCTGTTTACATGTTAAATTTTAAGGTGCTCCCGGACTCAAGGGACTGTTGAGGCTGTCTGAGGAGGACCAGCAGGTAAGGGAGCGATTGACTTCAAGCTTGTAAAACAACAGTTTGGGGTTGGAATTAGTCCTGCACGTGAATATCCTGAACTTTAGATGGAAGTGTGTTGGACGTGTCCTCTGTTGCGGCGTCACTGTAGCCCACCGCTGGAGCGCCAAGGGCGGGGAGGGGTGCGGGGTGCGGGGCGAGTGTGGGCGGTGTTTCTCCAGGGGGAGCCCCGCGGCGCTGCAGGGGTGGGAGGGGAGCCTCTCCGAGGCGGACGCCCAACCTCATTTCGTTTCGGAAGTTTCCCAGGGGGAACTTTTTTCCAGTGAGCAGAGCTGATTTTGAAATCGAAATTGAGGATAAAATAGAATTTTTCTAAATTCTCTCCCTTGGATCCATTGTGGCAATGGCTGTAAGAGTCCTGTGTCGCCCCCACTCGGGGCCTGCTCGGCCTCCGCCCTCCACCTCTGCTCTCGCCGCCTCCCACCCTTGCGGGTGCCTAGTCCCCTGCCCAAGCACAGCACGGGCCGCATTCACTTAGTCACCTCTGTGGAGGTCTTGAGTGTCGCCTCAGGGAAGCCGGCTCACACTTTCAGGTGCTAAGTCAGGTCCCCCCACCCCACGTTCTCCTGTCGCCACATTCCTGTTCTTCAGAGCACGTCCCTGTTGGCACCGAACTGTGAGTATTCAGTGTTTCCTGCCTCTTCCGAACCCCAGCTCCGTAAGGCCGGGACTCTGCCGGGCCATCCCCTCGTTCGAGTGCCTGGCCCCGTGCCTGATACCCCGTGGGGGCCCGGTGAGGAGTCAGGAGGGTGAAAGGACACGTGGATAGTCAGGGTCGCAGCATTCTGGAATATCCTGTCAGACCTCCATTCCCCATCAAGGTTGTGTAAGGAAGAAGCCGTTAACACTGCTTGGGCTGTCAGAGTGAGATGCCCGAGACTAAGTGACTTAACCGACAAACCTGTTTTTCTCACACAGTTCTGGAAGCGAGGAAGGCCAAGATCAGGGCGCCGGCAGAGCTGGCTCCTGGTGAGCGGCCTCTCCTTGGTGTGCAGACTTCTCACCGTGTCCCCACATGGCAGAAAGGACCTCGTGACCTCATGGAAACCTCATCCCCTCCCAAAGGCCCCACGTCCACATCCCCTCACACTGGGGGTTAGGCCTTCAACGTATCCATTTTGGAGGGGACACAAACATTCAGTCCATTACATGCACGAGCCTAACTGATCGAGAAGCCTAACGGTTATTTCCTTAAATAGTGTCACTGACCGCTGCTTTATTAACTGTGGAAGTGTCATGAAAGCGGGGACTAGTTTTAGTTGTTAAGAGCAGACTGCATCTGTCGCTCCATCCTTCATCGCCAGCAGGAATGTTTGGGGACCCGGTCGTTAGTCAGCAGTTCCTTGTGGGTAAGGCAGTGACCTCCTGATCTCGAAGCACACCAGGAAACGGGGAATGCATTTAGTTCCGTGGAGAGGCTTCTTGTCTCCTATGACACTAGAAAAATGAAGCCAACTTCTCTTCCGAGGGCCGTCGTATCTTCAGGTGCGAGGTGGCTCCTGACAGCTTCCTCCCTTCCTGTGGGCGAAGAGCCGCTTTGGAACTTTCTCACTCCTCTCATCCTCTTCTGGGAAGAGAGGACTTGAACAGGAAATTTCCAGGTTTCCTTGGGTTCCTCGCTCCCTGCTAAAAACAGCCGTGGAGTTTTGAGAAGGGCAGAGAGTAGGAAAATGTAAGGGAACCAAGTACTTTTCATTTGTAATTTGTGTGTAAATGATGAGGGTGAAGGGTAAAAAGCTGGCAGGGGGCCTCGGTTTGCTGGGCCTTGAGAAAGCGGAGGGGAAGCCCACGGTCAGAGGTTTGCTGGCTGTGTCGGGAGCCCTTCAAAGCTGCTGCTTGTGGGCCAGGAACACAAACATGTTCATGTGTTTCAGGGCAGTACTGCATGCATCTGAGTTTGTCTGAATTCCGGCCAGAGAAAAACAGAATGGCTAATAATTTATTTCAGTTCGTGCCTTTTATAGTTTTTTCCTGGTTTATTTTGTTCAGCGAATTTGCCATACATCTCGCTGCTCAGTACTGGCAGGCCGCCCATTTAAGGACAGTAGTTTTAAATTAGAAGACTCTAGGTTCATAGAAAATACAGAGCATTGGCTGCCTGAGACAAACGCCAAAGTGAAAATGTAAACCTCCCTCGATTCCCTGCTGGCTCCCAGGCTGGATGAGGCCCGCTTCTGTGGCATGTGATGGCTGTTTCAGCCCTTGCGTGTGCTCCGTGATGTTCGTGCTGGAGCCTTCAGGACAACGTGAACTCACTGGAGGACGGACTCTGACCCTTGACTCCTTAGACCAGAGGTTCTCCTAAGGAATATCTATCAGTGAGGGAATCGTAATCTGATCTCAGATGCTGTCTGTATCACTTGCTCTCCCTGTTTCAGAGACACTTTGAATTTCTTTGGAGTGTCTTTTAAAAATCTTCATGGTGAATACATACTGTGGGATTCCATTTATGTGAATTTCCAGAAGAGGCAAATCTATGCTGGGGGAAAAAAACCGGTTGCCTCTGGGAGAGCTACGAAGGAACCTCTGGGTGGTGGTGTAATTTACATCTCGATAGGGGTTTGGGTAACACAGGTGCGGACGTTTGTCTTAACTTAGCAAACGTACCATTAATACTGGTATACTTCATCATGTGGAAAATTTAAAACAAAAAGATACTGAACTTTAATGATTTGTATTGCTGAGGATTTTTAGGAGGATGGCTATAGCTATCTGCAACTTATTCAAAATATATCAAAAATTAAGGTGGATTGATGGATGGATAGAGTATTAGATGTGTGATAAAACAGGAAAACGATAATGATAGAATCCTGGGCAATAGATGTTCACCGTAAAATCCTTTCAACTTTGCTGTATGTTGAACATTTTCATAATAAAATGTTGAGAAAAATCATTAGGGACTTTATCACATTATCTGTTATCTGCATTGTATTGATTCAGTTTAATTCTTTTATTTTTAATTTTTTTTAAGATTTTATGTATTTGACAGCAAAAGCAGGGGGAGCTGCTGGCAGAGGGAGAGGGACAAGCAGACTCCCCACTGAGCATGGAGCCTGACGTGGGGCTCGATCCGAGGACCCCAGGATCATGACCTAAACCAAAAGCAGATGCTTAACTGACTGAGTCACCCAGGTACCCCCAGTTTAATTCTTTTAGTGTGTTCTTCTTAGACTAAACACAATCACGGATGCTACCGCAATCCACGCTGGAAGAGGATGCCAGATGGCACTGTTTCCTGCCGATGAGCAAGGACGGCCGCGTCCTCTTCCACCCGCAGACTGCCACAGGCTGACCAGCTTCCTGCTTAAGACTGCCCCAGAGGCAAGGGGTCTGGCTCCCTGCCCCTTGCAGGGACAAGGGCAGCGATCCTGATGTTCCTGCCAGTGAACTACACATTTCAATAAATGGCAGGAAATCCTTCTTTTCATTACACACACTTATTAAGTGCTTGCACGCGTGTGCGCGCACACGGAAGACTAGGTAACGACTGCTTCAGAGTAAATACAGCGTTTTCAGATCAGATAGTTTAACTTTAAAAAAAATAATCCTATCACAATGAAAAGTCTTCATTTTACCTGAAAACTGATCTTTTATTATAGTGAAGGGCTTTTGTGAATTCATGTCAGCGCAGCAGTCCAGCGTACCCGTGGTTCAGATGCTTTCAGTGGAGACCACTGTGTCCCCAGAAAAGGTTTTAAAAGCTGTTCTGAGGTGTGCGTGCCCTGGTAAGTTTCAGGTGTTCGGTTTCCGGATTTGTTGTAAGCAACGGTTGCAGCTCTCGACAGCTCACAGCAGCGTGTGTCCTGTGGCGGCGCTCCTCTTTCGGAGTTAGAAGAGAAGCCACAGCACCAGGTCTGTCCCCGGGAAGGTACAGGGGTCTTACTTAACTTACTGCCCGCTGACCTACGCATCGCGTTACACTGGGGGAGGCTCCGCTCTCACCGATGGA